CAGTACAGTAGTACAGTACCTGCCGCCTAGTGCGTGCCAGGTACTGTACACAATTCAAAAACTAGCGCCATAATTGCTACTACCGCACGGACGCTGCTACTACACGTGTGCACTACTGTACACGCGTGTTGCTTACAGACTACCGCACGGACGACACGTGTGCTAACGCGCACACGTAACATGCGTAGACTACCGCTCGGACGACACGTGCATTACTGTACACGTACGCCAGATTACGACCGCTCGGCATGCGCGCGCGCTCGCTACACGTGGGCACAGCCGCCCACGTGTATACCGTATACGGCCGTCCGATGACCTCCGCGCGCTCGCGCCGGTCCTTATACTACATTCTACACCGAAGGGTTGTACTTTATGTGGCAATGACTTAGGCCCACTGGCTACCAGGAGGGGACACAGAACAAGAAAGAAGTGCTCAAAATGTAGCGTTCATTTGTGTGTTACTGTGCATGCCGGGTTACGAAAAAGTTGCTGGGATGTCTGGAATTCCACAAACGTTCTGGCTGAGCGGCATACTCCAGCTCCTTTGCGAAATGCTGCACAAGTGGACTTAGACACATCAAAAAACGTTCTACTGGCCATGGAACCACATGATGACGAACTGGAAGCTTTGACATCAAACTCGGGAAGTGCCACAAGAGCCCGACGACCCGGAATACCAACCAGAAGCCGCGATAATCTGACACACAATCCTCGGCCACTGCGGCGATCACGCCGTTCGCACACGTGAGCATAATAAACAGGTCTTATTGACATAATTATACTGACAGGGTGAGAAGATAACTGCATTCGTATTGCTCAAATTTGTGAGCAATAGGCCTATTTTGGGTCTTTTTGCATGAGTCAAATAGTCCATTTTTAAGGTGGTTCCGTTGCAGTACCACTGGGATAATTTACTTGAAACTTTAGGGACACATAGGTTCTTGTCTTGTCAAGCTCCAGACGAATTATGGAGAAGGGGAAATAAATATTGGGGCTACCAGAGCAATTTGAACATTTTTGGCACATACCCTTCTCGGGGGCTAAATTTGGGACACAATTTATGGGAACTCCCATAAATCGACAACAGTTCCCTTAAAGAGCCCTCGAATATATGCCCGGCAAGTGTCCTTGAGTCCCCAATACAAGTAAACTGGAACACCGCCTATTGGTGGGTTGTCAATCAAGACGTTTAAAATTCTTCGTTCTGCTTCCAGAGTGTTGAAATTTTCGAAAAGGGCTTTATTTGAGACAGTAGCCACTCTGAGTTACTTAACAATTATCGTTACTTAAATGCATCAGAGTCTCCACAGCGTCCTGCAAACGGGATGGCGTCGACTGTCCAGTGCTCCGCGCGCTCTTTTCTGTCTTTTGGTTGCCTGTACATGAAGGGGAACGACACCTCTTGCCCAACTTCGCACGTGTCATCGCCTCCCTTTCCTCCCGCTTTCGGCGACGCAGTTCATCTCGCTCCATTTTCGCTTGCTCCCTTACCGCGTTTTTTTGTGCTCGCGCCTCTGCCTTCGAACGCTTCTCTTCCTCCACTCGAACCCGTTCAGCATTTGCTTCTTTGTCCTTCTGTCTGCGCCCCTCAATGAGGTCCCCAACTGTAAGGCACCGCGACGGTGCTCCGCACCCCAACACTCTCCTCGTCTCTCCGCCACATTGGGCGATTGGCCTTCGACTGATTCCAAGTAATATCGAGTTGACAGAATCATTGTCAGCCAATGCAAGGCGGAGGCGTTTGATGGATTCTGTTTTGTCTGAAGTCTCAGTGAATATTGTCTTCAGCTTCCCCCATGTGTCACTGTCACTGAGCCTTTTTCGAACACTCTTAAGCGCCGACTTCGGTTCTGCGTTGTCAATGCGATTGATTAGTGCTGTGCGGGTCTGTTCGCGTTCAAATGCTGCTGTCTGGAGTCTATCTAAGAATCGGTAGTCCATTGGCCAGATGCCTGTTTTCACGAAAGACTCCCTCACAATTGATGCTGTGACTGCAGCATGCCCCGCTACTGCAAGCTTTAGTTTAAACCCCATCGCATGTACATTGGTGGATGCCAATGACAAAAGCTCATCTCTGGTATTCCTGACGGCTTTCTGGAATCTTTTGTTAATTTGATTATCGCAGGGTTGTAAAAAATGTGTTGTGTTTGCGGGGAGCACAACTACTTCTATGTTGTGCTTCCTCGCCTTTTCAAGTCACTCAATTCCCTTTCTCGACCCGTGGCCATCAAGGAACAAAATGTATGCCTTCTCCCTCGGGACTGCCTTTCGAACAAATTTATCAATATGTTCGATAATATGAGGCATTGTGTCCATTTCGACAGATCCCTTCTGTGTACATCTCAAAACACAGTCCCTCGGAATCCAAGACTCGTCTGTTAACCAATGGGGAACGTTGTCTTTTGTGTACTCTTTCTTCGGAAGGGGTGCCATTCATGACTGCATGACGTTCTTTCCGCCTGCTACAGCGAAAAGGGGCGCAAGTTGGCCTGATGCTGACGCAATAAGAACAGCGGTCAAGTGCTTTCCTGAACCTTTAACATTGGCAATTGCACCGCCGTGGTGGCTGTTTGCCGAAGAGAAAACCTTAATTCGACGTCCAAACTCTCCGTCCACATGCGTTTTGTGGTACAACTCTCCTCAAACCCTAGCGGGCGAGAGGCTCGGAGGATGAGCCGAGGGAGCTCGCGACGCGAGACGCGCGGCGCGCGGTTACCGAACGGTCGGACTTGCGAAAAGGGAGTGGCACACTGGCCGGTTACGCGCAGTCGTCCCGAGGTGCTAGATCGGAGACGACCGGTAACGGGTTAGAAGCCAACGCGCGAGAGAATACCGAAACGGCAGTACGTAGGCGCGAAAGGGAGGGGGGCAAGTCTGCTCCCCGTGTTTACTGCGAGGACGGTGTCCAGGTCTTAACCCCTCAGAGGGACGCCCGGGACACCTGTCCAACACAGTACCTGTCACTTACTGTGGACCAGGTACTGTACGCGATTGAAAATCTAGCGCCGTCATTACACTACCGCACGGATCCTCACACTACGCGCTTGCATTACACTGCCCGCGCATTATCCCCACACGGTTCCTTACACTACACGTGTACCCAAGCGTACACCTGTCACTTGCTGCGCCCGTTCGGTAATCATACGTATTACACGTGGGCCACGGTGCCCCGTGCCCGCTGCGCGCGGCCGCTCCTACTGTGCACCGACCGCGGATCGGTCGTTTTACCACACGTTTCATCCATATTCCAGATTCTGTTTGGATCGTTAAGGATTCCCGGATGAAGCTGCTCCACTTTTTTGAGCGTTTCGGAAAAGGTTTGGACGTGATAGTAGTTTTTGGCTTTTATCTTGATTGCTTCTTTATTTTCAGCGTTTCTGTAGACCAATTCTCTGTTCTGTGCGCGATACGTTCTTATAGCAGCTCGAGAAGGGATCCCATTAATATATCCTTGCCGACTATCTGCACAAATTTCTTTTAATGTCGACTGTAGTGTTGGAACATCCACAGCAAATCCTCTTCTCGCCGCAGTAATTATGCGTTCGTTTCAAGCTTTAGACTCTTCATTCGTCCAGATAGTCTTTCGACCACGCCGGTTATTCAGAGGATCAAGTAGCTTTTCTAATTTTTCCTTGTCTTTGCCTTTCAGGCAAGTATGAATGCGACCTGCTGTGGACTTTGAAATTCCACAAATTGACGCGACATCCCTTACCGACCTTCCATTCCCGAAGAGAGTCAAGGCACGAGCCCGGCGTTGCTTCTCTTCTTCACCCTGCTTCTGGCGCCGGATATGGGCAGCCGTTTGACTGCGCATGGAATGTGGCATGGTTGGTAATTTGAGGATTAAGCGGTAGACCGCCTCGTCAAGGACAGTATCTCGGGACAAAAAAAAACCAGGTATCGTTTACCCGCCCAAACAGCCAGCCAGTTTGAATTCTGACGGGCTGTCGAATCCACGGCAAACACTTGTATGCACAGTTTCGGTTGATTAATAGCGTTGAGAAGCAGTTCATATCGGTTTAAGTTAAGTGTCCCAAGTTAAGCCCTGTCCCAAATTTGGCCCCCGAGAAGGGTATGTGAGCAATAGAAATTAACAGTAGGGATATGAGGTCAGTCATGGGAGGCCAGTTTTTTTTGCAAAAAAAATATAAATTAAATCGAAACTTTAAAAGTCAGTTTGGACACCATTTCTTTAACGTATTTGCCCTCGGCATTAACATCTTGCAAAACATTGGGATGGCAGTTTCCAATGCACAGAGAGCCTAAGAATCTAATGAAGTTTCAATGATGAGTTGGCTTTTTAAACAGGCGTTTTGGTTTCGAAGAAATCAACATAAAACGTTTTGAGGTTGGTCAAAAAGGCTCCTTTTTTGGGCATTTTAAAAATGGCTGGAAAAGACGTTCAGATCTCACCAAACTCCGCCCTTCCGCAACGCAGAAGTCAACTGCGATGGCGAGAGTATCATTTTCCATCTTGTTGAGCTAGCGCAAGTAGAGAAAAAATAAGTTGAAAAGTGACCTCATATGGGGTCAAATGGCCTCATATGAGGTCATTTGTCACCTAGACACTAGGGATGCTCAAGGCCCTCTCGGCCTGCTCGAATACTGCCAGCATTATGTCTTTTGCTTTGCACAGCACTGCACCAGCGTGAGATACCTTTCACTGACATTGAAGTTCTACGTAGGCCATTGCACTGCAATCTCATCGAGTTTTTTGCTCGACGGAACCTGTGATTGTCTGTTCTACCCATTTCTTCTGCATTTGTGTGATACATGTCGTGCATGACTTTCGCAATGCCCGAGAAATAGACACTGTGCTGTACAGTACATGTGTACAAACGTGTACATTATTGTACACTTGGGTACAGTACCCTTCAATGAAGGGTACAGTTCCAGACGTACATACTGTAATTGGTGGCACTGCTCGGTCCCATGTCCTGTACCCTTTCGTAGTTGCCTCTATCTCCAATTTCTGACGGGTTTCCGCACCTCAGCAGCCATCGCGAAGAGTGTGTTCGGTTCCGCTCTCACATCCAGGAGCTCAGAGTGACTGCGCATGAAGGCATCGGTTGATCATGGAAAGCTCAGGTAGAGAAAGCGTCCATGTACCCAAAATCGAAATATGTGATTCCCCGAGTCGTGACATGATCCAGGAAATTTGCTGCTTCGTCAACAGCGAGGCCGACTGGAATCAAACGGTTTTCGATCTTGAAGTAGCAGACGGAACCTTTGCGGTTGCGCGGAATACCAATAACGAGATTATCGGTGTGTCGAGTAGTCACGCCCTTTCTCCTCGCAACCTCTGGCTTGGAAACGTCTGTGTCGCTAAAACTGCCAGACGCTCAGGCCTTGCTTCCAGGTTGGTGAATTCGCTATTTGATGTGGCAGCTGAGCAAAGGTGAGTTAACAGCTGCCTCAACTTCTTCCCGCTGCGTGCGACTGCATAGGATGTATCTCTTCCATGAGCATTACATATACATACGAAAATGTCCTACAATAAGCACACCAGAACCCATGACTTCGAGGAAGGAGGACTCTTTTTGTGGTCACCGCAGCACTAGGGATGAATTATGGCTTACTAATGACTGAAATATCGATACAGTCGGCGTAGAGGCACCTCCCCGCGCGCACCACTCATGCGGATTTCATATAATCAATGCATTCTTTAGCAAACGGTCTAATATTTTTAGGGACGCGGCTTCTTCTGTACTTTAGTTCTAACCTGTCCATTGCTTATGACTTGGTGATTACTTTTGCACTCATTGTCACTATTTAGGATCCGTTCACACATCGTCCTGCTTGCCTCCAAACTCGGTGAGGGTGTCTACCGACGCCTCGGGTTTAGAGACGTTCGAAGTGTCGCTGTCGCGAGCTACAGAAGGACAAGTCTGCCACTTCCGAATTTCTCTACTACAGTAGCCGGTCGTCCAACTGCACAAGAACACGACGATGCCATCCGCCTTGAAGGAGAGATAGGCGGCAGCTCTCGCAAGGAACTTCTTCGAAAACTCTTCGAAAAAGATAATCTCTGCGCTGTCGCCAAGACGGATTCGTCAGTCGTTGCTGCCGCCTGGGGTCGGTACAAGGCACCTACCCCATCGACAAACGAGATCACGCTACATGTGGGCCCTGTCGTGGCGAAAACGCCCGACCTCGCCATGCGTGTCGTAGCGGAGCTCCTCCGGATGGCTCGCGCTGATGATGCTTGTGCGTCAACTTCGCTCCCGCGAGCATCTGCTCTCGTCGTCCGCATTGGGGACAATAAGGCAAGTGAACAAGTCTTTGAATCTCTCGGTTTTGAGAAGGCAATCGACGCGCCATATTTACAAAAAAGCATTCACGATGGTGCCGATCCGTCCCCTCGAGATGTGGATTTGGCATGCGCAACGGATCAGTGTTACGCGACGATGTGGTGGGATATCGCTTAAAAACCCCTTCTTCTTGTCTCGTTATGATACAGCAAATGCTTCGTCTTAGGACCCTTAGCCTAACCAAGTTACCTTGTCTTCGCCCTGAGGACAAGTGTTGGTGCATGTCAACCAATGCGACTTTACCCAAATATGCAATACTGTACTCGTCTTGACCGTGTGAAATTTTTAGGCGGCGGTTTGGCAGGACTGCTTCCACACGGCTATCCTGAATGCGACGTACACTGTGTTGACCGCATCGCCGGAATCACGTCAAGCTACCCTTTCCCGCGACACAGCTCGGTACACGTAATTTCATCCCAAACTTCATGGCTGAAAATCATGGTCCCCGGGAGAGGATTCTGCAAAAGCTTCGGTAGCCTCAAAGACCTTTGTCATCTCAAACCTCTTCTCAAAATTGCGGATCAAGTAGCCTGAAAGTAGACACCAAAACGTGAGCTGGGCAAGATAATCTCTGCTGGTGGAGTAGGTCATCTGCACCTTGTTCGGGCTCAATTCCCCCAGAACACTCTTGACAATCTCCTTAAACGCGTCAATAGCATCCGGGCTGAGATTGGCTTGGAGGGCGGCGATCTTCTCTGGTGTAAGCGTGCGCATGAAATCCAAGAGCTTGTTATTATTCTGGTCATGTGTCTGTGTGGCGGCCAGCCTCTCCCTGAGGAGTTCATTCTCGGCCTCGAGCTTCGTGACATAGTCAATGGCCTTCATCTCCTGCTTGGCCTCCCTCTCAGTATCCCACCATCTGACCTTGCCATCAACAGCGGCCACATCAGCCTTGCCTCTTCTCGGGACGCCCTTCATATAATCAGTCTCTGCGGCAAACAAGTCCGGGACGTGATCCGTGTCGCGTTTCCGCCTTGTATTCTTGGGGCTCTTTGCAGCCATACTCTGATTCAAAACCATTCTGAACTCTGCATTCCTCAGCGCATAGCCCGTCGACAGGGAGCTCTGCATGAGTCTAGAAACGCCTCCCCTATCACTAGTTATGACAACCTCATAAGTATCGCCCGGGATGCTGCCAAGAATGCCCATGACAATCCTCCGGAACGCATCGCTCGCGCTATCCGTCGCGAGGGCACGGAGTTTGTCGACGTCGTCTGGGCCGGTCGTATGCTTCCTGAGGGTGGCGTACAAAGCATTCTTGTGACGGTCGTCCTGCGCTGCGACGTTGGGGTCGCCCGAGGCGGCGTTGGAGGCTGAGGCGCGGGAGAAGCGCCAGGCGTCGCCTAGGACGATGTCGTCGTACGAGTCGGGCTCCGAGGGCGAGTGGGCGTCCGAGTGGCCAGGCGAGTCCGGGTCGTCAGAGTCGTCCGGGGTGGCGTCGTCATCGAAGGAGGACCACAGAAAGACGGCGCGCACGGGGTCGCGGGAGCGCGGGCGGCGCGGTGGGCGGCGCGCACACACATTGG